GTACTTGAGGATTTGGTAATGGTTGAGCTTGTTTCTGGGAGGAGCACTGATTCTGGGGTATTTTGGTTCTCTGGGCTTCTTCTGTGTTTTCGGACGGTGAAAAGTCACAGAAGTGCAGATCTTCTTTGCCTTCTTCTTAATGGAAGAAGCACCTGACTTCACTGCCTTGGCAACCTTCACTGCTTGAGACTTGGCATCAGACTTCTTGGAGGTAGCTTTTGCTGGCGGTGCCATCGGGTGATGCGCAGTAAAATTCCAATAAGTTACTTACCGTTGTCCCAAGTTTGCAGGCCGAGCACTCTCCAAGCGCCTCCCTTCTGGTGGCCAAGCCCTAGCGTTAGGGTAAACGGAACGATGCTTATTGCCCTATACTATAATTGTGTATATGTCAAAGAAATTTTGTGGATGAGTTTATTTCAGCACTTTGGGTGTTTTAATAGCTCTGTTGTCAATTGTTGATTGGTTTAAAGTGAATACTAGAAAAAAATTTAAATCATTTTTAAAACTAGATCTTGAGATTTGCCTGTTAGAGCTGATCAACACGATAGGATATACCAATCAGCAGATCTCGTCAGGTTTTTTTGTGACATATGTATACAAAAAAAAAACATGATGAGCATAAATGTTGAGACAAAAATTAATTTAAAAATTTTTGGAGTTAAATTCATGATTATGTGAACTCTGATTTTAACAAACTTATGATTAAACTAAACATCTTGACAATATGAACCCAACAATATCAAAAATTGATTCAAACTGAGCCTAAATGATATCAAATCAAACACATGAAGCATAGTTGGAAACTTCATATAATAATAGAATGATCAAATGATCTTCAAATTTGGCATGCTTATAATAAAATCTAGTTGCTTGACAAGATGAATCTAGTGGGCCCAATATCATTTAATTTTAACATCATAACTTACTTTTCTACTAAGTAAATGTTTCATGATTCAAATAATCAATATGAACTATATGCTAAAGTGCTTTGGATTCTAACTAAATTTATCAAAAATGGCTTTATCGAAAAGTTTATAAATAGAGTCTCATTCTCCACAAAGATGAGGTCTAAGATGTGAGAGAAGAAGAGAGTTATCTTGCATTTTCTAGCTCTTACGACCACCGATGACCACCACCAATTATCTCCACCAACGAAGATCGTCAACTCTCGCCAATAACCACTATCTTTTGGGGAAGTAAAACATACAGCTAACACAAATAGAAAATATAAGATGCAACGAAAGAAAGATCATTAAGATTTAATTTGGAAAAAAAATGAAATCAAGAAAAACCTAGGGAGCCACACTACACAAAAATTTGACTACTAAAATTGAGGGAAATAGTACATATCACTCTTTTCTCTCACTCTATCTTTGTATGTACTCCCTTGCATAGTTATTGCACAAAAACAAACAAAGAGATACATCAAAACCATCTTGGGATGCAACCCTTAATGAAAAACCAAAAATAAAAAAATGGGTAGCCCTTTTCCCAGCACCGTGATGCCAAGTTGAGCACCATGAAGCTCAACTCCCTTTTCTACAATATGCCTTATAGCGTCGTAGTAATGAGGTTTGTAGCGCTACAGAGCTCCCTTTCAAAGCTGCAACATCGGGGTTTGGAGCGCTGCATCGCTCCACTCTCTGCTTTTCTCCAAGCAAACTATACAACGTCAGAGCACTCATATACATATCGCCGCAAATGTTGTACGGGAACAAAAAAAATTTGTGCATGGGGAGGACCCCTTGCAATCCCCCAATGAGCTAAACAAACTGAATTAAGGTTAGAACTGTTAATGATACCACGTCAACTTCAGCACAGCAGAAAGCATAAGTCCCTGCTCCACTTCTTGCTGCACTCGTCTCCTTGGCAGGCAGCTTCTCATAACACTTTGCAGCCTTTGTAACTAATTTGGGCATTTTAGTAATTAGACATATAGTAGTCTTTTATCTATAAAAACCTTTGTAACAAATGCTTGGTGGTAAAGAGAAATCACTGTTTACCACATGTCTGAAGCGTTGCTCTGTTCTTCAGCTCAACAGAGCTTTTATGCGATTGTTCAGTAATTTCTCTTAGTCAACATGCTATCAGAGCCATATTTGCTTCACCGCAGTTGATCCCGTTATCTCCATGGGAGACTCTTCGGTTTCACCCTCCACTCCTCCGGCGACAGCTACCACCGTGCCTTCCTCTTCGTCCTTGCCGACTGAAATACCTTCTAACCTCAAGTTTCTTGTATCCAACATCAAGAATGTTATTCACATTCAGCTTCTCCCAGACAACTATCCTACCTGGAGATCGCAAATCTTCAAATTTTTTGTCGCAAATGGATTTTCTGGACACTTGGATGGCAGTACTCCATGTCCACCCAAACAGCTTTACTTCTCAGAAAATCAAATCACTATAAATCCACTGTTTACTTCATGGATTTTGGTGGATCAAAACCTTTCGGTTGCCCTATTTCAACTATATCTCCATCCATTTTACCGCACATACTCAATCTGGACACCTGCTGTTTGATCTGGTCGACTCTAGAACGGCGATTCTTCTCAACAAACCGTTCTAGAGTAATTCAATTAAAGAATGAGTTGCATTCTGTGTCCATGAAAAATCAGTCAATGCAAGAGTATCTTTCTCATGTCAAAAGCCTTGTCGACAATATTACAGCTGTCGGAGGTACTCTTGACTCCGAAGACGTGATTCTCTATATCCTTAATGGCTTACCTACTTCTTACCAATCCTTCAAGACCGCCATTCGCACCAAACTCACTCCAATAAATCTAGATGATTTATATTCACTTCTCTGTAGTGAAGAAGTAAATCAAGTGTCCGACGCGATTAAAGAGATGGCTGTCACTGATTCTGGTCAGCCGCCTGATTCTCAATTTGCTCTAACTACAAATCGTGGGCGTGGGCGTGGCCGTTTCACATATTCGAGAGGTCGTGGACGTGGTCGTCAATCTTCCCCACCATACTCTTCTGCTTCAAGACAGCCAAGATTCAATGGTGATTGCCAAATCTGTGGCAAGCGAGGACATTCCACCATTACTTGTTGGCACCGATCAAATCTGCAATATTCTGCCAACGTTCCTATGACTAATGCTGCATTCTTGGCTGATTCTACCACGACTCCATGGTTTCTTGATAGTGGTGCTACATCGCACCTTACTCCAGATATTCAGGCTCTTCAACAACCCACAGCTTACACCGGTAATGAACACGTTCTCGTTGGCAATGGCAACTCTCTTCCAATCCTTCACTCTGGTAAAGGTTTACTCCCAACACCCAACCGTAAGCTTTCTCTCACACCTCTTCTACATGTTCCACATCTCACTCATAACCTCATTTCAATTTCCAAATTGGTTGAAGACAATAATTGTTCCATTATTTTTAACAAAACTGGTTTTATTGTCAAGGATTTGACGACCAAACAACCAATTCTCCAAGGTCCCTGCCGTAACGGACTATATCCACTGCCATCTCACTCAAATGCTTCAGTTCCTTCCACTACAGCGTTCGTTACCTCCTCCTCATTGTCTGAGCTATGGCACCAACGTTTGGGTCATCCAAACTCTACAACACTAGCAGCTGTTCTCAAGCAAATTTCACCTTTTAGAATTTCCTCTTTTTCAAAAGTCTGTACTTCTTGTGCTCTTGCAAAGAGTCACAAGCAACCTTTTTCTATTTCAAATCATGTATCCACCTTTCCTCTCGAATTAATACATGCTGATGTTTGGGGCCCGTCGTCGATTATTTCACGTGTTGGTTTTCGATATTACTTAATTTTAATAGATGATTACTCACGCTATTCATGGCTCTATCCTTTAAAACAAAAATCCGAAGTTTCATCAACGATTATTTACTTCAAAAATTCGGTTGAAAAACATTTAAATCATACCATACGAACTCTTCGTACAGATGGTGGTGGTGAATTTCTCAATATTCATTTGCGTATTTTTTTAATCAAAAATGGTATTCAACACCAATACTCATGCCCACATACTCCCCAACAAAACGGCGTCTCTGAACGCAAGCACCGTCATCTTCTAGATACTGTCCGTGCACTTCTCATTGACTCAAATCTTCCATTTTCATTTTGGCTCGATGCAACTCTAACGGCCATCTACCTAAAAAACAGACTACCTTCCCCCAATACATCTTTAGTTTCAACTTATCAACTTCTATATCAAACTACACCGAACTACCTACATCTTCGTCGTTTTGGTTGTCGTTGCTATCCCTGGCTTAGACCTTATGCCCCTCATAAATTAGCTCCACGATCTGCTCGTTGTATATTCTTGGGTTATGCCGCAAATCAAAAAGGTTACATATGCTACAATCTTCTCACCAATCGTACCATCATCTCTCGTCATGTTCTCTTTGATGAATCATATACTCCTCCTTTGGACAACATTACTTATGCTAAACCATCACCAAACCCACTCATTCCACCACCGTTCCCACCAAATTTACCCACCACACCAACTAATTATAACTCTGCCACCAATCCACTTATCTCTACTCTACCAATTTCATCTCACTCGTCAACTCCATCTGCTTCCACATCTTCTCAAAATTTATCTCATTCAAACTCTTCTACCCCCTCCATACTTCCTGTAACTATACTGCAAGAACCACCTCGTCATCCTATGACCACTCGGTTACAAACTGGCCATCTAAAACCACGAAATATTCTTGATCTTCAGCATACTATTTCTCCCATTCGAACATGTTATTCTATAGCCGTCAAACATCCTCAATGGCGCGCAGCCATGTCAGCTGAATTCCATGCCTTACAATCTCAAGGCACTTGATCACTTGTTCCACCACCTACAAATCAAAATATTATTGGTTGCAAATGGATTTATCACATCAAACGTCATGCCAACGGGAACATCGCTCGTTACAAAGCTCGGTTGGTTGCCCTAGGCTTCAAACAAGAATATGACATAGACTATCAAGAAACGTTTAGTCCGGTGGTAAAATTCCCAACCATTCGAATGTTTATTACTGTTGCTTTACACCATGATTGGTCGATACTTCAACTAGATGTGGTTAATGCCTTCTTACACGGCAATCTTACTGAAACAATTTATATGTCTCAACCACAAGGATTTCAAGATCCTCAAAATCCCACTCATGTTTGCAAGTTGCATAAAGCACTATATGGACTTAAACAAGCCCCGAGACAATGGTTTGCAACCTTGTCTTCATTTCTTCATACTATTGGTTTTCATATCAGCTCCGCGGATCCATCATTTTTTATTTACAATCAACATGGCATACACATTTACTTGCTCATCTATGTAGATGATATACTCATCTCCGGAAGTGATTCACAATTCATTTCAAATCTACTACAACAGCTGCAACAAAAATTTCAGATTAGAAATCTTGGCATGCTATCACAGTTTCTCGGAATTACGTTCACCAGGTCTCCGACCGAATATCATCTCACCCAGCAATCTTACCTTGAGCAACTATTATCCAATGCAGCAATGTCATCTTGTAAACCTCTTACTACCCCTTTGCTCCTCAAATGGCCAACTGATCCAAACTTGCAAGCAAATTACACCCAGCAAGATCATTTTCGCCACATTGTTGGCTCACTCCAATTCTTAACAAACACAAGACCAGATATTGCTTTTGCAGTCAACAAAATATGTCAGCATATGCATCAGCCGTCTATTGGCCACTTCCAGCTGCTCAAACGAATTCTCATATATTTAAAAGGCACGACATCACTTGGTCTATTTTTGCCCAAGACAGATCTAAATTTAACTGCCTTTGCAGACTCTGATTGGGCTGGCGATGCTATCGATCGCAAATCAACAACTGGCTACTGTATCTTTCTTGGCTCAGCCTTAATTTCCTGGTCTGTTAAGAAGCAATCAACCGTCGCACGATCGTCAACCGAAGCCGAATATCGCTCTCTTGCTGCTTCAGCTGCTGATGTTATATGGCTTCGTCGTCTTTGCCAAGAATTTTCTATAAATCTACCATCCACTCCACTTTATTGTGACAATATATCCGCTATGTCTCTTGCTTCCAATCCAATTTTTCATGCGAGAACGAAACATATAGAAATTGATCATCATTTCATCAGAGACTGTGTTCAAGCTAAACACATTATTATTCATCATGTCTCCTCCGTCGACCAGATAGCCGACATCTTCACCAAGCCATTACATAGTCAAAGACTTGCTCAACTACGTTCCAAACTGCTTGTTCTTCCACACACCAGTTTGAAGGGGACTGTTAATGATACCACGTCAACTTCAGCACAGCAGAAAGCATAAGTCCCTGCTCCACTTCTTGCTGCACTCGTCTCCTTGGCAGGCGGCTTCTCATAACACTTTGCAGCCTTTGTAACTAATTTGGGCATTTTAGTAATTAGACATATATTAGTCTTTTATCTATAAAAACCTTTGTAACAAATGCTTGGTGGTAAAGAGAAATCACTGTTTACCACATGTCTGAAGCGTTGCTCTGTTCTTCAGCTCAACAGAGCTTTTATGCGATTGTTCAGTAATTTCTCTTAGTCAACAAGAACCAACTGTACAACCCGACTAATCATCACAATCAAATTTCATATAAAACTAAAACTATAAGTAATTGCCACCACCATCTACAAAATTTTGCCAGCGTCGCAAATTTTCTAGCACTTAACCCACCGTGCTATTCCCAGTTGGCCAAAATGGGAGACGGAAATTAATTACATTTTTGTTTATTTTATTTCAATCAATTAATTCTTGCCTTACCATTCAACATGAACGTGGCTGCAAAATCTACAACCTTTACAAGAAAATCTTCTTGGTCCGGCTGCTTTGATTAATAGATAGTAATAGTCAAAGTAAGGAAAAGAGGAGTAAGGAACTCTTGGTCCCATAGACTTATCGATTAATTTAATTGGATTGATTGAATTCTGACAATGAGCTGAAGGATTTTCGACAGTAAAAGATTGAAGAGAGAAGACATGGTAGCATGACAGGGATGTGAACTTTTTCATATAATTAAATATGTTACAAATGGCCGACTACTCGATGGGTTTTTTGCAACTTGAGGTTTAAACATATTATAATATGCGGGTAAGTAGGACTGTAAAAAAATTGAATTTAAATAAATTGATTGTTTGTTCTTATTTGACTCCTTTAAATTTCCATGTGTTCATAAATTCATATTTGGCTCTTATACGAATATTATTCATATACGACTTATTCAAATTTACACAGAAAATGAATCAGCTACGAAAAAATCATCAGGTTGCATGCCTATTCATTCATTTTAATCTTATAGGTATTATCAGATCCGAACATAGAGCTACTTTATTTGTTTGTCATATCTTTGCTAGGTGTTTATGGAATTATTATACTTGGTCGGCCAAGTAATTAGGGGGCGGCAGTTCGGTCGCCTATGATAGAAGGACCAATGGGTCAAAAATAGGTTTTTGCCGCATGTGTTGAATGATCTACTCTACACATGAGTGGGCTTACAGGGCTAGGGCTCATAAACCCTTTTATTTACAAATTCATAGATACGGTCATGGTCGGTAACTTTTCAGATCAACGGGATCGAGAAATAGAAGTTATAAAAAAGAGATTTCTTTTCAAAAAAAAAAAAAAA